CTCTGTGATGAAACATGCTTGCAGGTATGTCCTTATGTTGTGGAGCTCTGATTTCCATAGGACCAATTCCCATTTCATCCCTCCGTGCTCACATCTGTCTCCCTGCACTCTTCAGAACCTTATCCGTTTGCTAAATGGGTGGTATTTGAGATGATTTCATAGCAAGTGTTCATCTTTGTTAAATAACAGGGGCACTCCCTAGATAAAAGCCTGAGCTGAGTTTTTGTGGGGCTGAATCTCACAATTATTTTTGTTTGGAGAAGTTTGATGGAAATGAACAGAAACAATATGCCTACCCCTAAATACACTTAGGCTTCCGTTCTCCATTCTGCTATGCATCCTCATGCAGCCCTGGCAATGAGAAATACATGGGAGGAGGCTTCACAAAGTGGACCTCTGACTTTGGAGTTTTGATGCACTTTTGCATAGAGTCCATCTGTCCATCTCCCTACTGGTGCCAACCCACCTCTTCCTTCCTCCACTCTTTCTATATCTTCCCTCCTCTCTGAACCATACTCCCACTCCTTTGGCTATCTCCCTCCTGATAGGAAGAAGGAGGTGGCCATACGGAACAGCAGACCACTCTTTGAAGGTCTCCATATCCACAGCTCTCATTTCAAAGCCTCACTGGGAGATGATGAAAAAGAGATGTCCAAACCCCAGCCCACAAAGTTGTCCTCATCTCAGGTTAAACCAACTCCCCTACACATGCAGCAAGGAGCAGTCCTTCTCAATCCCTTTTGCGGGCTTGTCCTCCTCGAGCCCACTTCTCACTGTTCGAGTGGCTCGAGAAACAGCCCAGCACCTGCTTCTAGTGGCTTGTCCTCTGTATAGGTGATCAGTCCTCAGAATGATGGCTTTAAACACTATCTGCATCCTGTTGCCTCCATAATTTGGTTTCCCCAGACTTCAGTAATTTGACACGTGCAAACAGGAGCTCCATACACACTCCCAACTGTCTCTCAGCCCTCTCAAAACCTATCCCACCTGGTCCCCTTACCTCCAAAGACCGCGCTTGGCACCTCCCTGTTGAGCATGTGCAAGGAAATATCCCCACAGGAAACATTCATTTCTGAAGTTGGTTCACCAACTGCCCTTAACCCCCCTCAAGTGCCACCTCTTCTGTTTGCAAAATTCCACGGGAATTCACCCACTGCTCTCCACATTATGCTTGCGGTCTGGGACAAGGCATTGCCGGCTCTCCATTGGACGATAGCAGGAGCCTCATAACTGGTTCCTTTGCTTTCCTTTGTGCCCTGCCCACTTGCATCATTTTCCAAACAGAGCAGCCAGAGGGAAATTACTGAATGTAAATTCAACCATGGCACTCTCCCTGGCTCCCCAGAGCACCCTGACTAAGAACCAAACCTCTCCAGTGGCTCCTGCCCTACACTGCACCTTTCTTCATTCCCTCCCTCCATCTCCTCTGGCACAGGGCTCCAGCCACACACACAGTCACATCACATAATCTCATCACCTCATCCCCACTTAGCAGCAATCATGGCTTGCCCCTGAGCCTCTGCATCCTCGGGTTCCTCTTGGACAACCACCTAAAATGGTGAGGCACAGCTCATCAACCTCTGCCTGCAAGCAACCTGGACCCCCAGGAGATGGCTCCTAGCAGTGGTGGCAGTGGTCACCGTGGTCAGCTATGGACTGTATGGCAGGATTCTCCTAGGTCTCTGCCCCTTGCCTCTGCTGTCTCTCGCCCTGCCTAGGGCCAGAGAGCTGGGCTCTGCAAGCCAGCAAGGTGTAAGTCTGTGTGCGTGTGTCTCCTGCTCAGCCAACCTGGGATGCTTGCCAGGCATTGAAGGTAAATTCTCACTGTCTCGCCCCCCCTCCCCCCCCCCCGCCATGGTAACTTAGTGGCTTTCTTAGGTTCAGGGTTCACAGTGGTTGTTCTTTCATGCGTGACTGCTACAGGTCCACCTAACACCACCACCAGAGAAAGCCAGCTTCATTTACCCAAACACAGTGGATGGACAGGGGGTAGGGAGGAACGTGCTGAGCCCATGATATTCCAGGGCCACTGCAGTCCACTCACCTGGCATGTATATGCTGCTGCTGGCAGTTTTGTTATCCATAGGGGCAGCATGAGCTCCAGTGTTGGGAAGATGTCCTGGATGGGGGCACTATGTTTGGTCCCTTGGTTGTTATCTAAGTATCTGAACCCACTGGCTCATGGTAAGTGTGAGACCCCATATCTCGAATGAAAGAGGGATGAGACAGGTTTGTTCTGACTCTTTTGCAACTGGTCCCATGTGACTGTCTACTTTTTTTTTGCCACCCCCATCTTGGGTTGATGATGTGTGCGTGTGCCAGAAACAAGCACAGGTGTGTTCTCACAGATGGGCACTTATATGAATGTGGATGATCAATTTGTTCTCTCTCTCTGAAGTTCTGATTGTAAATCTTCCCTGCTTGAACATGCACAAGAGTGGAGCCTGTGATCTGCAGGGCAGGTTTCAGGCACCTTAGCTCACCTCTCTGCCTTCAGGCCCTATCTCCTACTCTGCACCTTTTTTTTTTTTTGTTTGTTTGTTTTGTTTTGTTTTGTTTTTTTGGTTCTGTGGAGTGAATCCAGGGGCACTCAACCACTGAGCTACATCCCCAGCCCTTTTTTGTGTTTTATTTAGAGACAGGGTCTCACTGAGTTGCCTAGAACCTCTCTGGGCTGCTGAGACTGACTTTGAACCTGGGATGCTCCTGCCTCTACCTCCCAAGCTGCTGGGATAACAGGCGTGTGCCACCAAGCCCAACCTTACTCTGCACTTTTGGAGACCATGATCTCTGTCCACATCAGATTATTAGGCATGAGCAGAAGATACCATGTGAGCTCTATCATGCCACAGATCCTTGAGCACACAAGTGATCCCTCTGCCTCCAATGCCTCCCCTCCTGTCTAGACATGATGGACTGCTACTCAACTTTTAGGGCCTACCTCAGGGTGTTTCATCTTTGAGGCAGCCTCCCTTGATTCCTACTAGGAAGAATTAGTGGCTGAACTCTAGTTTCAATTATAGTCTACTCTGAGGGTAGATAGCTGCTTGCTGATCTGTTCCCTCAGCATTAAGCCCTGTGTAGCCTCAATGCTCCTATCTCTCTCTGTCCCCTATGCGCTCTCTCTCTTTCTCTCTGTCTCACAGGAACACAAACACACACACACACACACACACACACACACACACACACACTCACCCCCACACACTCATGTATATACACATAGGAATCACTTCTTTTCTTCCTGCCCCATACATCAACAAATGAACGCCCATTGCTCAGTTATCACATCATTGCCTGTCTCCTAGCCACCAGTGCTGTAGGTATAGCTGGTAGACTGGGACTAGGCACCTCATTCTACAGAGAGATTTCAGGTTTTGTTTAAATTTTTCTTTGAGTGCAGATGTACCTTTCTTGGTCCAGGTTGGAAACCTCAGCACCTTGAGGGCACAGGCAAGACTAAACAAGTGCCTGGCTCTGGACTAGGCCCTGTTCGCTGCCCTTGGTTAGACATTTCTCACTTGAGGATTGAGGATGGTGCTAGAGAAAGGGTGCTCTTGGTCCCCTCACTTCCAGGCAGGTGGGCCCGAGCTGGGGTGTTCAGAACCCCAAGTCCATAATTCTGCTGAGATAGGGTTTCCGGTCCAGATTGTCTGCTCCCAAGACAAAGCTAAAAACCAGGCTATGTCCTCCTGTTTCCCAGACCTCTGCATCCCTAAGGACTGGCAGGGGCCATCCATAAATATTTGTGGCAGAGGAGGGAAAGAACTGGAAAAAGGAAGGAGGGTTCAGAAAACAGACCATTCTGCTGCATGGGTAGCTTGGGAGCCTGGGAAAGGGAATGTTTTCATTGGTGGTGGTGACTTTGGGGCCCTCTGTGCTTTGTGGTGGGGAGGAACCCCTGAAAACTCCTTTCCTTGGCTTTGTTTATCTTCAAGGCCGCCCCCACCCACTCTTGCAAGGTACTTGATTTAAACATTGAAATGTTCCATTACAAGGAGAAGGGCACAAAAAACAGCCCTGCCCCCCACCCCGCGCCCCCACCATGGGACCCGAATTCCTTTGGTCCACAGTGGAGCCCTTTCCTTGGCATCCTCTTCATGAATATGCGGAGGCCCCCAGAGGCATTGAACACCCCCATCCCACCTCCCTAGCCACCCCGCCTCTAGCCTCAGGCTGTGCTCCTGCTCCTGCTCTGGCTCCCGCCCCCTCCCACCACCCGCGGCCCCACAGCCCCGCAGCTGCCACAGGGGGAACCAAAGAGACAGAAGCCTTCCCAGCTGCCCGGACCACAGACGCCAACACCCCCCGCCCCCCACCACACGCCGCCCTCCCGCCCGCGCCCCGCACGTTAGCCCACGACCGAGCGGCGGCGGCAACAGCAGCAGGCTGAAGGCTGCGGCGACTCGCATCGGCGCGCTCCTGGCGGCGCTCGCCATCCCAGGTGATTTGGACTCGCCAGATCGGCTAGCTCCGGGGCCACCTTCCTCAGCTCCCGATCGCTCCCCCTGTCCCGGGTTCCGGCACCCACCGGGCCTCCTGCCCTCCCCCTCCTCTCCACCCACTCAGTTCTCTGGAAGGGAGGTCGCGGCAGCGGCCCATTGGCAGCGGTGATCCTGGCGACAGCGGCGACAGTGGCAGCAGCGGTGGCGGCGGCGGTGGCGGCGGCGGCGGCCGCAGCGGCAGAGGCTGCGGCGGCGACCGTGGCCGAGGCGGTGGCGGAGGCCTCCGTAGCGGAGGCGGAAGCAGAGGTGGAGGCCGAGGTGGAGGCCGAGGCCTCAGGAAAGGAGGCAGAGGCGGAGGCCAACCTGGGGGAGGAAGCGGAGGCCGCTCGTGCGTCAGCTTTGGTGGCTGCGGCGGAGGCCAGCACTGCCGCTGCCGCCTCCGCAGCAGTGGAGGCTGTGGCGCCCCGCATGGGGGAGCTGGATGTGGATGAGGAGCTAGCGGCGGCGTTGGCTGCCGAGGATGCAGGTGCGGAATTGGGCGGGGGCTCGGAAGGGAACCCAGATTTTCCCATGGCCTCTCTGTACGTGGGCGACCTGCAYCCCGAGGTGACCGAGGCAATGCTGTATGAGAAGTTCAGCCCAGCGGGGCCGATCCTGTCCATCCGCATTTGCAGGGACAAGATCACCCGCCGCTCTTTGGGCTACGCATATGTCAACTACCAGCAACCGGTGGATGCCAAGCGAGCCCTAGAGACCCTGAACTTTGATGTCATAAAGGGCAGGCCAGTGCGCATCATGTGGTCCCAGAGGGACCCCTCGCTCCGCAAGAGCGGGGTGGGCAACGTCTTCATCAAGAACCTGGGCAAGACCATCGACAACAAGGCGCTGTACAACATCTTCTCGGCGTTCGGCAACATCCTCTCCTGCAAAGTGGCCTGTGATGAAAAGGGGCCCAAGGGCTATGGGTTCGTGCACTTCCAGAAGCAGGAGTCGGCCGAGCGGGCCATAGATGCGATGAATGGCATGTTCCTAAACTACCGCAAAATTTTCGTCGGGAGATTCAAGTCGCATAAAGAGAGAGAGGCTGAAAGGGGAGCCTGGGCAAGGCAGTCCACCAGTGCTGACGTCAAGGATTTCCAGGATGACACCGATGAGGAGGCCACCTTGCGATGAGCAAAGCCAAATCTTGGCTCCCACCCGGTTTACAATCCCCCCCACACACCCCCAACCCACCAGCAGTGTATTGTATTGGGAGTGCAGGTCTCTCTCTCTTCACCCCACCTCCCTCTCCCTCTCCCTCTCCTGGCCCCCTCCCAGAGTCTTTCCTCCCTCCCCCCCTTCCCCACTTCCTAGCTTCTGCCTCCTCTCCTTCTGTCCTCCCCCGCCCCCCACACCCCCTACCTAGGGCGTCCTGAGCAACCCTACTAATCTGTGCCATTTGATAAGTTAAAGGCTGCCTCTTCTCCCTGTGGTTTGGTTCATGAATGCATTTACTGTCTCTCTTTGTTTACTGCACAGGTGATAGAATTTCATGGTACAACTATCAGAAAGGAGAAGGAAATCATATGAGAGAAAAGCAAGAGAGTAGTTGCTCCCTATGATCCCACTTCCCAGAGAGAACCACGTTTACCTTTTTGGTGTGCTGTTTTTCCAGGCTCTCTTATCTCCCTCCCTCTTGCCCTCACCCCRCCTCCCCTCTTTACATACTGTTGTAGAATGGTTCATCTATGTGGTGTTTCTTAACCTGCTTTTTCAGCAACTAAAACCAAACAAAAATCAACCCATTGAACTTCTTTCCATGTTATTCAACAGGCTTATGAAACGTCATCATCAGTGCCTGCAGAGTGCTCCTGTGTATCCATGGACCTTAACATTTCTGTAATCATTCCCGCATTGTTGGACATTCAGGTGGTGCCTAGTTCTTTCCCTGTGTTTAAAACCAACACTGCGTGCTCTGATGAGTGAATCCTTCCTTGTCAAGCCAAATCTTTGCTAGCATCCTGGATGGTCTCCCTAACTGTGGACTTGCAGGATCCACATATAGACGTTTCAGAGACTTTTCCTGTGTGTTACCAAAAGGCCCCCTTCATAAGCATCGTGCCGATTTGCACTTGTGCCAGCCAGCGCAGCTAGTAAAAAGAGTATGCCCATTTTCCCTGCATAGTCTTCTAGTTGCTGTAATTGGGGTGTGTGTGTGTGTGTTTGTGTGTGGGTGTGTGCGCGCGTGTGTGTGCGTGCGCGCACGCACATGCTTGTGTGTTTGTACCTTGTTCAGCTCAGATGGGCTGCAAATGCTATTTCGCTGTCCTTGGTTGTTTTGCTGGAATAGAATACTGTTAATCACCCTTTCCCCCTGTGTTCACTTTCTGTCCCCTTCCCTGTTGTCCAAAAAAAATTCAGCTTCACTGCAGGAAAAAAAATCACAACGCAGACAAATCATCAGAAGAAAATTAATGTTGTCAGTAATCAATCCTAATGACTACCCATGCCTTTCTGAAACATGCTCATCTGTACCTACCCAGTATTTTCCAAAAACAAAAACTGCCTGAAACATTTTTGGCTGTAGCTCCAGTATTTTTCTTATGCATATGTCATAGATATTATAATGTATATACTGTTTTATATCTGCTTTTCACACATAAATGTGTGTGTACATTTATATTCACATACTCTTAATCTTCATTTCATGTCATTAAAAGTACTTTTAAAATAATTTCTCTGGCTGCTAATATTCAATACAATTCATGGCTATTGATATGTATATATCTATAGATATATCTGTGTATCTTTTATGTGTTTGTGTGTGTGTTTGTTTTAACTCTTTTTTCTCTTTGCTGAACATCTAGGTTGTTTCTTGATCATCTTTTTAATTCATACCAATGCTATGAAGAAACCCATAGTTGAAAAACCTTGCTGACATTCAAGGTTTTTTTCCCTGAACAATCATTTTTAAAGGGAAATTTGTAGTGTCAAAGAATGTGAGCTCCTTGGTTCTTTTTCATGAGGAATAGTGTGTCATTGAATGGCCCTTGATAAATATAGTACATGTTAAATTTTCTAAAGTGATGCAGAATTGTGAGAGTACTTTGGTACTTGGATAATTTTCTGCAGTTGCTATTACAATAATTTCTGCATTTCTGCCAATATTTCATTAGGGATATGGGATTTTGTGGCTTTATTTATTTTAAACATTTATTTTTATATAAATTGAACATGATTATAATAGAAAACATTTTTTAAAGTTGTTAATGTAAAACAAGAAAATCAAAATCCTCAAACCATTCCTCATTCCTCTAATTTTAATAAATATATACATGCCTTTATCATATAGTATGTAATGTTTCATTGGAGGATATTTACACCACAATTGTTCTTTGTGGACTATCTTTGTATATTATTACATATTCTCCTACAATTCTCTTGTATAATATTCCACTACAGGAATGAGCTGCAATTTTTTAGCCAAACCATCTTGGGATAAGTTTGAAATGGTTTTATTTTTTTTTAAATCTACAATGGACATTTTTGTATCTTACTGTCTACGAATATTGTTTTTCCTTTCCGATCTAGTGGAATTACACAGTGATAGATACAGACATGTCAAATATTTTTCTTGGGCTGATATCAAATGTTTCTCCTTTAAAGTTTAAATCCTCCACTAGCAGACTATACACATTATGATTCATCTTAAATTGGTCAAAGTATTTTAAGTTTTGTAAATTTTACGTGACCTGTACATTTTTTCTTTTATTATTTCATTTAAAATTTTACTTTTAAAATGGAGATCTGTCACTTTAAAATATATATAAGAAAAACTTCATATTATTTCTTATCCCTAAGTGTTTCATAACAATTATAGGATATAGTGATTATATTTTATATCCCATTTGTACATATTCTTCACATGCCTAAAAACACCTATGGCTATTCAATTTTCTTCTGCAATTTAGCAACATTGAATAGAACTGGACTTTATTTTAGGAGTTTCCCCACTTTGCATACTAGAGTAGTTTTTATGAATTCCCCCATTAACCCCAAATATATGGTGAACAATTTTGTAGTTGAAACTCCCTCCTAAGAAAAGCACTTAATATTCTTTTGCTTAATTTTTAGTTAACTCAGTCTGCTTAATACAGACTGAGTTAACTAAAAATCAAGACAAGTGTCAGAGATGGTGATTTAAAAGAAGAATGGGGAGCATCTGTAAGAAACTAGAATTAAAACAGTTTTGCAAAGTCCATAAAGCTAATAAAATAAAGCCTTGCCTCTACCCTAGATGTATTGAACTAATTTCTGTGGTTTAATACTATTCTGCAGACCCTCCTTTTAACTCAAGGCAGCTTTACAATTTGGCAAAGATTGAAATACCAAGAAGCCTTTGACTTTAGGACTTGTAGGATATGGATTGCTGTTTTTCTGTATAGGAATTATTTCTTAAAATATGTCTGTTGTTTTAGTTGTTTAGCTCATTATATAAGGATTTCAGAAAACAAACCCACAAGGTAGATAACTATTGGCACAATGTATATGGTTCATGTTCATCCCAAAGAGAGGTTGGCCTCAAACTGATCTGATCAGGATATAATCTCTTTCATAATTACTGGGAAAATGGTAGGCATGTAATGAGTGATAAAAATCAGCTTGTCAATCTACAAAAATGCCAGCTGGAATTCTGATAGGGATTGTGTGAAATACATATTATTATCTTAATATTTAGATTTCCAATTCATGTGTGGGATTTTTTGTTTTATGTAAGTCTTCTTCCAATAATATTTTGCAGTTTTCAGAGTGCTGATTTAATTTTAGTACATTAGATTTCATAAGCATTTTATCCATTTTGATGCTGTTATAAATAGCACTGATTTTAAAATTTCATCTTTGGTTTGCTTATTACTACTATACAGAAATATAATAGTTTTATATATTGATCTTGTTTTCTGAAACATTTCTGAACTTATTATTTCTAATATATTTTAGAAGATATCTTTAGTATTTTGTATATAAAAGATCTGTCATTACCAGCCAAAGTAATCAAAGCATTAAGGTACAGATTGTTTAAAAAAATAGACCAATGGAATACAATAGAAACTCCAGAAATATATACAGGCAAATATAGTCAACTAATCTTAAAAAATGTACAAAAAATTATATAATGCAGAAAAGAGTCTCTTTGACAAATATTTTGGAAAAACTGGATATCCAAATGCCAAAAAGCAAATAAACATTAAAAGAATTTGTTACACCCCTCCTCAGAAATTGACTAAAAATGAGATAAAAATTTACATTTAAGACTAGAGTCCATAAAACTCCAAGAAAAAAAGGGAGAAAAGCTTTATGCCATTTGTCTTGGCAATGACTTAATGGATATGACACCAAAAGTACAGGCAACAAAAGAAAAGTGGGGCTACATCAAATGAAAATATTTCTTCACAGCAAAGAAAAAAATATGAAAAAGCAACCCAGGATATCAGAGAAAATATTGGCAAACCATATATCTAATAAGAGGTTAATATTCTGTATACATAAGGACATTTTATGACTAAGTACCACAAAGAACAAAAAAAAAAAAACAAAGAAATAACCTCATTTAAAATGGGCGAAAGATCTACAAAGACAGTTTCTCAAGGAAGATATACAAATGACGTGGGCAACAAATACATGAAAAAATTCCTAGCATCATTAATCATCAACATTAGGGAAATACAAATCAAAACCACAATAAGATATCACCTCAATGGTATTTAATTATTATAATTGATATTATAAAAACCAAAAATATTAGGATGAGGACAAAAGAGAATATTTACACATTGTTCATGAGAATGAAAATTGGTATGGCCATTATAGGAAACAATATGGAAATCCATCAAAAAATTTAAAAATCGATCTACCATACGATTCAGGAATTCCTACCTCAAAGAGTTATTTTCATTGCTGTGTTCATTGTGGCACTATTCACAGTAGCCAAGGTATGCATCAACCTAAGTCCATCAACTGATGAATAGATACTGAAAATGTAGTTAATATACGAAATGGAATATTATTCAGCTTTAAAACAGAAATCTGCCATTTGTAACAGCATTGATGAAATTGGAGAGCATTATCCTAAGTTAAATAAGGCAATACAACAAAAGACAAATACTGCATAATCTCAATCTCACTTATATGTGGAA